CAAACAAGAACTTACATTTGATAATCTCAAAATGATTACCTTGCCAGGATAAGCCAGCTGTCAGGCCCTACCAAACAAAAACTAAACCTGCCATTAAAACAATTAAAATGCAATGAAGACAACATATTGGAGCTATCATCAATATATATATTACTCTTAATACATCTATAACACTGATCTCAAGATCACTATTCATACACCATAATCTGCAATTAAATTTTTGATCAATATGCATTATGTATAGTACTATTAATATATCTGACAAAAAGTTGTGGTCACTCATCATTTTTAAACTGACAGAGGAAAATAGATTAATAAAGCATGTGCTATCCCTTTCAAAAAATTTTACATGAATAAGCATAACAACAAATTCATGGAATAACATCATAGATAATTTAAGGTACTAAATTACAATTAACATGATAGGTGATTGCAACTTTTTGTCGAGTACAGTACAATAATAATCTTCACGAGATGAAAAATGGATGATATAAACAATTGAATGAAATAAAGATATAATCAAGACTGCCAATTCCCAATATTCATAAAATATGAGTATATGCATCTTTAAACTTGTATCGCTGTTAAAACTGCTATCATTTATTTCAAAATAAGTGAGAAGCCTGTTTTAGGAACACACTGTAAGTTGGTGTTGAGAACCCTTGAAATATTTTAAAACAAATTCAGAAATTTCATAATTATTATATTTTAAACTATTTATTAATTCAAGACTATGTCTTGAATTAATTTATCAGAAAATAAATTTTCTACTTTATTTTAGATTTATTTGATTTTAAAATATAAAAATTTTTCATTATTCTCTTACAATTGAATAATCAAAGATGACTACTTTATATATAATAAAATAGTTATTTTGGATTTTCAAATTGTGAAAGAAGAAAATGAATTTAAAAACAATTGTAGAAAATCTGCATTTTAGTATTTTCATCTCAAAAACAACATATTCAAAATAAACCATTTCTTTAATCATTAAAATCACATATACAATAAATTATAATACTTTTTTCAAAACTAATGATGTTATGTTTGATCCCATCTTTCCACCAAAATGAAAATTTTTGCTTGGAATATGATGATAAAGTTCAAAATCTGTGAAAAGAAAATGTCCAACTTATTGAATTTAATTAAAAAAATACATTAATCACTGCAAAAAAACTGGATGTACAGTAGAGCATCAATTATCTGAAACAATTTGGGCTGGGTTGTCCGGATAACTGATCATTTATGAAAAAATATATTAAACACAAAACTGTACTGTACAGGTATATATTTTGTATCACAAGTCTTACAAATATATATCTTACATACTTTACATAAAGTAGTACATTAAAGTAGGCCTACAGTTTAGGTTGGCAGGAAGGGGGAGAGTGCTGCAGTGCCACAGCACTAGAGGAAATTTGAATTTGCTAATTTGAACGCATTTGGTGAACCAATGTTTCGGTTGATCGGTATTCAGATAATTAAAGCTCTATGGTACTATTATTATTAACTCAAAAATCACCTGGAAAATAATCATATTAACACTAAATTACAATAAATTCTTAGGTGAGCAATGAAAAAGTTACTTACAAGAAGTAAAAGTGGAGAATTTGGTGATGCCACAAGTCTGTTTTGGCTAACTTATTCATGTCATCTATCAAATGTAGTATTAGCTCATTATTATTTAAATGTACAGTGCATGGGATTGTGTAACAAAAAAGTTATTGTTGTAAAATAAAGTCATAAGTCATTATAAAACATATTTACTTATTTGGAGTTTTAAACGTTATCTAATGTTCGATATTCAAGTGTCTTGTCATGTAAAATAGGGCAATAATAAGCATTTGTTCACAGCATCACAAAATCTGACTTGCAATGTTATTAAATTCGTTGAAAGTAAACTTTTTGTTTGCTCACCCAATTCAATGAGACAATTAATTATTTTAATTTAATAAACACTCAGGTTCTTTGAATACCTTGACTCAAACACCTTATGCTTCCGAGAAGTAATATTTATTATCCTACGAATGTTTTCTACCTGCTTCACAAGTCATCATCAGGTATTTTTGAAACTCTTGGAATGTTTCTTTGCACTGGTTCCAGGTTCAAACATTTATGCGAAACAAAATTCAAATTTCTATATCCGGTATAATCGGTTATACAGCATGCACTCAATCCATATAATTATGTTTATTGTACGGATATATATTTTTATTGTATTTTATGTTATTTACTTTATTTATTTGTTTTATTTTATCTTATTTACTTTACTTGAATCCATGTATTGAAATTAGTTCTATTTATCATTTATATTTTTGTATTTAAACAGATACAGAAATTTGAATTTTGTTTTGCATAAATGTTTGGTCCTGGAACCAATGCAAAGAACATTCCAAGAGTTTCAAAAATACCTGATGATGACCTGTGGAGCAGGTAGAAAACGTTTGTAGAATAATAAATATTACTTCTTGAAAGCATAAGGTGTTTGAGTCAAAGTAATTAATTATTTATTTATTTTATAGTAATTAAAAATTACAGATCCATTTGAAAATTCAAAAGACAGATATTCAAAAATGAACATTTTGATTTAAATCACTATAGAATGTCTGCTGCACTAATTCAAATTGTTTATTTGTTGAATTTTCAAGTAGATCTGAATGTGAAACACAGAAGTTCTGAAAACTCTTATCAATTTTAAAGCATTTCATGACTCCTTTGTTTTCATGAGTATGCCTAAACCTTAATGTTAATGTTTATCTATGGAGTTAACTTTTAATCTTAGTCCAAGCAATTTTGGACTACACAATCATCACTGAGAGTCAACTAAAGATGGATTTTTCTCAGAATAATAGTTTTTGTTCCTAAAAAAAGAAGTCTAAATTGGATTTAAAGATACACAATAATGTATCTTTATTTAGTTTATCTTTATTTCTTCTGAAAGTGAATTAAAATATAGTTGACAACAAGTAAAAAATTTATTATTACCTGTAAACTGGCTTAAAATTTCTTCCTTAGTCCAGTTGCATGATGTCAATATAAAATATCCTTCTGGTTCCAAAAGCTGATATACATTTCTAATATATTTAAGTCTATTTTCTTTGGCATTATTTGGACTTAAGCTAATTGTATCATATGTTCCTAAAACATAAATTATTATTAGTTGTATTTCTTTAATAAGATAAATCATATATTTAATTAACTAAATTAGCAGCTCAGATGTAGCCTAATGAATCTGATAATTAGGTATTTAAGTTAATAATAAATAACTAGACTAGATGATTGTTTATTCAAATACAAAATTTTAAAAATATCAAATTTAATATTTTTATTTTTTAAAATAAAATAAAATGTTTAATATTCTATAACAGGGCTTCTTAAACTTTTTTTATTCACGACCCCATTTATAATTGTGATTTTTTTCGCGACCCAAAAATATAAAATAAAGATATATACAAATTTGCAAAAACAATAATGGTGTGCTACCACAGTTCACTCTTGTTTTACAATGGAACAGAGACAACTAAATGCACTGAAAAGCGACAACACTATACTAGTTAACACTACAATCAGGGTTGCTGAATCATTGTCTCGCTGCACCAGAAGTGACACAAACCGCAACTCATGAAACCTATGACAAAGCATGTCTCACTTTCAAACTCTCACAAATTATTTTCAATATTTTGCATTAAAATCTCGCAACCCCAAGATTTTGCCAAGTGACCCCAAATGGGGTCGTGACCCATAGTTTAAGAAGCCCTGTTCTATAAAAAGCTATAAATATTTATCAATAAAGATGAAAATTTAGCGTTAAAATTCTATTATATTTTATATCATAACTAAGATTATACACAAATAAATACAACTAAAACTCACAACTTTTATTGTATGCTTTGTTTAGCTACAGAAGATAATAAATTCAAAAAACAAACAGAAGAGAAAAATATCAAAATGGCAATTGTACTAAATTTCCTCTGCTTCTACTAAAGTTGGTTCCTTTTATTTTTTATAAGCTTCATTAAAAATTTAAATCATACTGCTTAAAGAACAAGACATAATAATTTAAACTTTTAGTGAATCTTATACTGTAAATAATAAAAGGAACAAGTTAGTAGAAACAGAAACCTTTATACAAGTACTATTTGAATTTCAGCCAGTAAGATGAGTCTGAATTGCCAGTAAATCTGGAGGATGAGCCTGTTCTTATCCTCAGATTTACTGTGTCTGAAATGAATATACTATAGGACTACTGTGATTTTGCATGTTTGAAATAGTAACAATAATTGCATTTTTTAAAACAATAAATTTAATTAGTGATATATATTTAACTGTATTTTATCAGATCATGATATTAAAAGTTGAATTTTTTGGTAAAATATGTAATTAATATTCATCTCTGCATAATTATAAATCAAATAAAGAAAATGTTTACTTGTAATATTAACACTAAATTACAATAAATTCTTAGGTGAGCAATGAAAAAGTTACTTACAAGAAGTAAAAGTGGAGAATTTGGTGATGCCACAAGTCTGTTTTGGCTAACTTATTCATGTCATCTATCAAATGTAGTATTAGCTCATTATTATTTAAATGTACAGTGCATGGGATTGTGTAACAAAAAAGTTATTGTTGTAAAATAAAGTCATAAGTCATTATAAAACATATTTACTTATTTGGAGTTTTAAACGTTATCTAATGTTCGATATTCAAGTGTCTTGTCATGTAAAATAGGGCAATAATAAGCATTTGTTCACAGCATCACAAAATCTGACTTGCAATGTTATTAAATTCGTTGAAAGTAAACTTTTTGTTTGCTCACCCAATTCAATGAGACAATTAATTATTTTAATTTAATAAACACTCAGGTTCTTTGAATACCTTGACTCAAACACCTTATGCTTCCGAGAAGTAATATTTATTATCCTACGAATGTTTTCTACCTGCTTCACAAGTCATCATCAGGTATTTTTGAAACTCTTGGAATGTTTCTTTGCACTGGTTCCAGGTTCAAACATTTATGCGAAACAAAATTCAAATTTCTATATCCGGTATAATCGGTTATACAGCATGCACTCAATCCATATAATTATGTTTATTGTACGGATATATATTTTTATTGTATTTTATGTTATTTACTTTATTTATTTGTTTTATTTTATCTTATTTACTTTACTTGAATCCATGTATTGAAATTAGTTCTATTTATCATTTATATTTTTGTATTTAAACAGATACAGAAATTTGAATTTTGTTTTGCATAAATGTTTGGTCCTGGAACCAATGCAAAGAACATTCCAAGAGTTTCAAAAATACCTGATGATGACCTGTGGAGCAGGTAGAAAACGTTTGTAGAATAATAAATATTACTTCTTGAAAGCATAAGGTGTTTGAGTCAAAGTAATTAATTATTTATTTATTTTATAGTAATTAAAAATTACAGATCCATTTGAAAATTCAAAAGACAGATATTCAAAAATGAACATTTTGATTTAAATCACTATAGAATGTCTGCTGCACTAATTCAAATTGTTTATTTGTTGAATTTTCAAGTAGATCTGAATGTGAAACACAGAAGTTCTGAAAACTCTTATCAATTTTAAAGCATTTCATGACTCCTTTGTTTTCATGAGTATGCCTAAACCTTAATGTTAATGTTTATCTATGGAGTTAACTTTTAATCTTAGTCCAAGCAATTTTGGACTACACAATCATCACTGAGAGTCAACTAAAGATGGATTTTTCTCAGAATAATAGTTTTTGTTCCTAAAAAAAGAAGTCTAAATTGGATTTAAAGATACACAATAATGTATCTTTATTTAGTTTATCTTTATTTCTTCTGAAAGTGAATTAAAATATAGTTGACAACAAGTAAAAAATTTATTATTACCTGTAAACTGGCTTAAAATTTCTTCCTTAGTCCAGTTGCATGATGTCAATATAAAATATCCTTCTGGTTCCAAAAGCTGATATACATTTCTAATATATTTAAGTCTATTTTCTTTGGCATTATTTGGACTTAAGCTAATTGTATCATATGTTCCTAAAACATAAATTATTATTAGTTGTATTTCTTTAATAAGATAAATCATATATTTAATTAACTAAATTATCTCTTACAATTGAATAATCAAAGATGACTACTTTATATATAATAAAATAGTTATTTTGGATTTTNTTAACTATATATGAATTACTGGTTAAAACCAGAAATCATGTGGTTTCAACTCAAAAATTTTCTCCTAAGTGGATGTAGATAGATGACTAGTATGACTCAATTGTTAACAGGAAAAGTACGAAGTACAGCAGGCAAGACACTACTAAAATCGAGAGCATTGTGATGAAAAATTGCAACCCAGAATTGTGACAATGTCACAATAAATAATAGCTTGTTTCAGTTTTAAATACAATGCTAAGTCAAAATAAATTGTGTTTTTCCCCCACATATGATAATCATTCAGGACAAAACAACTGCCCTAGTCTTATCCAATAATGCACCATTAAATTCAGTTTCATAGTTTCCACTAGTTCATCTTTTATTTTTTTATCTTGCTTGCACTGTGGGCACCAAGATGGATGATGAGGGACAGGGCTTGACATATATGGATAGACCACTCCTAAAAAATTCCTGAGATTTTTTAATTCATCTGGATTCAATCCTGAATTCCACAGCAGTAGGCTGCAGCCTTAACCCTTGGCATCTAGTCATCTTCTGCCAGTCTTTAACACATTGACTACCAACCTATTATTGCTAAAATCACTCTTTTGATACCATTTTGATTTTATATTCTACTACTATATATTTTCTTGTGTAAATTTTTCTATTTTTCTCAAAATAAATATTCCATTCTGACACCATGATTATTTTAAATTCTTAATCCAGATGCCCACTATACTTTATTAACATTTATTTCCTATGAGTATGTTTGCATCAGACACTATAGGCCAGATCATGTTTCAAAAGATAATTTGTAAGTGATGTCCTAAAAGAAACCATCACCTATGAGTTAACTTGTAGTTGTCAGTCAACATGTTAAATATGTGTATACATATACATATATATATATGTATATGTATACACATATTTACACATGTATACACATACATATGTATACACATATATATTTGAGATATTCTTCAGAACTGACCACAAAGCTTTTGGAGGCAGTGACTACTGTTGTGAATGGAAAAAGAGATTCTCCATAACTTCAACTTCAACTTCAACTTTGCTGGGAATACAAAAGAGTCACTGGGTGCCAAATCTAGACAGTATGATGTTACAATATGTACTAGTGGCGACACTAGCAGCTACCCCAGCAGTCATCCATTATCAGTCATAGAGTACACCATGTGTGTCTTCTCTTGTAAAGTGTTTAGTTGTAATAAATAATACATTAAGTTTGCTAGTCATCTTAATAGTGCAGTATACAACATATAATATAACATATGGTAGATATGGGATGCAATAAATGTTTTCTCAGTCATCACACATTAGCAATTTGCAGGTGTACTGTACATTGTCATTTTGTTGTAGGCAGACAGTAGATAACATTTGCTCTGTACATCCTAGCAGTCTGATTATCAAAATCCAAGTCACAGTTGAGCCATACATTAAAGGAGAACACTTCTGGAAATGAACCCCCTGTAGATTGGATTATAAAATGTGTACCATTGATAGCTCCAATAATTCCTGGAAATTTGAACTTTCCAAGAAGAATTGCATAATTTACAATCTGTCTGAAGTAATTGCAAGAAACTGGGAATATTTCAGAAGATGAGCAATAATCTGGAATACCTTGTATTCCAGATTATTGCTCATCTTCCAGCACACAGAACTTTTATCAACCCCAAATAGATATGCTACAACTAACTGAAAAGTTCCATAATACATATCTATTATTTATGAAAAGTTAAAGTGGTATAAAAGTGAGATGCTATCAACATTTGATTGGTTATACTGAGTGATTTCTGTCTGAAGAATATTCCAATTGATCCTCAATCTAAAACAGAATATTTTTGTCTCATATCTCAGACTGAGACAAAAAAAAATACTATTTTAAAACTTAAAGTTATAATTTACACATGTACAAAACCAACTTTTCATAATAACCTCAGTTTACAGCTTCAGCATTATAGCTTTGGTGATATGAAATCTGGAAATAAACTCTTTATCTGTAAGATCTTCAAAGGACTCTTCTTGTTTCTTGATCTTCCATTCAGATCACAGGTAACATACAGTTTCTAAATTCTCCAAAAATAGCATATCATCACTATCTAACTTTCATTCTCCCTTGTGTAATCACTGATCACTACATTTGATCTACCAAAATCAGTGGATCAACTTAAGCAGAGATTTGAATACTGATCAGAATCTAAACTGCACTGATATAACAGTTTTTCCTTTATCTCAGACCAACTATATTTGATCTGCAATCAAAACATTGCTGCAACTGATCCAAAGAAGAGAATTTGATCATTTTAAAAAGTTGCAGAATTTCATATTAAACACAATAGCAACAATCTTATTTCGACCACTAGTATGTATTTTCTATTAACAGGACTTATTAAACTGGCTTTAAGGATACTGCAACTCAGGTAAATTAAATAACAACAACAGGTAAATTAAATAAAACAATAATTTTATAATCTGTGAAACTGAGTTGCGGTATCCTTAAAGCCAGTTTAAGAAGTCCTGTTAATAGAAAATACGTACTAGTGGATGAAATAAGATTATAATAAATTAAGGACATTGAGGCATATTAATTTAACAATAGCAACAAATTGAACCTTAAAAAATTCAAGGATAATTAATTGCAAATTCATTAATCAATTGCAACCTCTAATGTTTTCGATCTACTTAGGAGATCTTCCTCAGGATTTCATATTAAGCATGATATTCTATATATATCTATTATGATCAAAACAATGGTCAATTCTTTCTGATGGTCCTTTTTTGGAAACATTTACTTCTATATAACATCTTCCTTCTAATAAACTATTTTCATAAATTAAAGAATCAGAATTCCTTCTATTGTTCTTGGTTCTCATTCTCATAAATACCATTTTGATTCTTTGAATTTCTTCATAAACTTGCATATTCATACAATACTTAATCATTTCAAAATTTTTACATTTTAAAATAAATAAAATTTTATTCTAAATGTTCAATGTAAACTTATTTATTTAAAAACATGTGCAAAATTTATTTATTATTTAATGTAAAATAATAAAAATGAAAAAAATAACATGATATTATTAAATTTATTTTCAAAGTATTAAATATATCAAAAGTAATCACCTTTATCTAAAATGACTTTATATTCATTCTGCATAATTTCATTTTGAGTTTCTTGCAAAATGTCACCTACCTGAAAAGCAATCAATATTTAAAACTACATGTTCTGAACTGTATAAATCATTACTGTATTTTATACTTGAAATAGTGGAGCATTCAAAATGTTCCTGGAAAGTGGTTATTATTTGTAAACAGAATGTCATATTTATAATTAATTGATGGGAGTGTAAATTTGTTGAAACTTGTTATCACATATTTGTGTCTAGTCCCATCAGACTTTTTTTTATTCCCAAACTTAGATCAAGTGAAATGTTTTGTAGCACAATAGCTAAAATCAAAGAGCACTGATTTCTACCAGAAGGGCTTAGAAAGGTGGATAACATTATATGGATAAATGTTTTAACTTAAATGGAATACATGTTAAAAAATAAAGTGCTAAATTCAATTTGCTGACTTTATTGCATTTTTCAGGAACGTTTTGAATGCCATCATATGTTAATTAATTAATTTAATTCATTAAAAGAAAAAACTTTCAAAGGCAAAAATTTTTAAATAATTGGACTAATAAATCTTACATCATAAGAAATTTTCACACCTTCCTGAGCAGATACTGCCCTTGCTAGATGAATTGCTTCTTCTACATAATCTATCCCTGATAAATTTGTAAATCCTTCTTTTGCCTATAAATTTTATTTTTGTTATATTAATAACATTATAAAATTATTTTGAATGGATTAAAAATTAATTTAAATACATACTAATTCAATCAATATCAAACCATTTCCACATCCAATATCAAGAATGGGATCGGATCTAGAGAAAGTATTTGAATTCGATAACCATCGAACAACATTTATTACACTTCGTTCGCCAAACCTAAATTTATATCAAGAATTGTTATGATGATATATACAAAATCCATGTTCAGTTATGCATAAATCAAAATCACATTACTTTATGACAATTATGAAACTTAATATATTAATAATAATTTGGAATTTTTAAGATATTACAAATATCTTACCATACTTCTCCAATATCTCCATTATTTTGGAAGTTTTCTAGTTCCTGTTGATAACATTCTTTCCAACTATAAATAATAAATTTATATAATTGTTTTAGTTATTTTAAAAAGAAATAAAATTGCCATTATTATAAATATCTAAAGCATTGATATAATAAATTGGTCAGTTTATAGAGTTATAAATAATCAAGACAGTTTAAAAAGTGACTAATAAAAATATTAAAAATCCAAACATTAGATCAAAGTATTTATTCTAAAATTCTTTTACAAGTTTGTCTTAAGTTTGGATTTTGCATTCAGCTTAACCCACATCAGCCTACTAAAAAATCAGAATCTTTAACTTTCAATTATACAATTATATGTTTATAAATTAAAAATTTCTTCAATGATAAAGCAATGCTATTGCTATGGTTCCATAGGCCACATGAAAAGCAGACTATGTAGCATTTGTTGTTTCAAATGACATAATGACGACTGACACCAGTAGAGAGTCCACAGAGTAGAAGCCAGAGAAATGAAGAGATACAATGAAAGACATATTGTGTTAATACATTTGTCAATTAGATGAAACATCTTGAAAAAACATTTAATCTTGATTAAAATTTCAAAGAACTCCTTAACTCCTAACATTCTTAATATTTATACAATTCAACTAATAGAGTCATATAGTTCTGGACAAATGTCTACGCATTTTTAAATTCTGAATACATGCTAGTAATGTCAATTGAAATCATTTACTAAGCAACATCAAATGATATCATTTGGAAAATGCCTGTTTATCAGTAATATTACATATTATTTAATTTTATATTACTTCACATTTCGAATATATCAAATCAATTTAAAGATACAGTGAACTGATTATCCATGCATTTCAAAATATTAGAATTACTATAAAATGACAAAGTATCATAAACAACATTCGGCTTTTCTTTTCTCCCTCAACTGTCAATTCAAAGGGAGAGAAGTGAAAAGATTTGAAAAAATATTCTACTAGTCCTAAAATTGAAATAAAGTAATTTGGAAAAATGCAAGAATTATACATAGAAATGTTAAATATAAATGTCTACATGATATTTTTGAAAATAGAAGAAATCTACATTTTATGTTGATTGACGAAATATACATTTCAGCATACGAAATTTGGGACTCACACTTAGATTACATTAAAGTTACAATGGAGTTGAGCTATATATATACTGTAGTTTAGAAAACTTCAGAGGTTTTAAATGAAGTTAAGAGGGCTATTTTAAATGATCTGTGTTTTCCATGCATACTCTTGCAGTAATTAACATGGATAACTGGGAGTTTGGTGTGGTTTTTAATGCATTATTTGATAGCAATAGAAGACTTAAAATTGTTTCTCCAAGCAACAATTGATAACAATTAGTCATATAAAATTGTCCAAAAAAATTATTTTATAACCGACAGAATTTCATTCGTCAACATCAGTATATATCATTTCACGTCAATCGGTCATTTGAAAGCACAGGGACATAGCCAGAAATTTCCGATTATGGGTCACATGCGTAGCCGAGGGCTTGCAAAGAGTTAGCATAAGAAGGTATGCCACTGTAAAAACACAATAATCCACAATCACTAACAACATGATTGTTCAAGGAGCCATCATATCAATATAGCAGCTCCTTGCACGTCACATACAATCACACGACAAGCTCGATAAAAAAAAAGGATCAAAGAAGAATGGTACTAAATTTTATTCTTTACCTCAGTTATTCATGTAGCATAGTATTAGTTTGACATGCATGTTTTTCTGTTTCATCTAGTGGTCGACTGCTTGAAACGTTCTTTTATGCCGTTTAGTTTTAAACTCGATCGGGGCAGCAGCGGGAGCAAATAAAGAGCAAGGTGCAGAAGCATTTCATCATAAAGGATACGAGGTGTTGCAGGTACAAAGGGCAAACTCTACATTTAACGATTGTAAACACTCAAAAATATTGCTTGGTTTTCTGCAAGTCTTATTTTTATTTAATACACAAAGCTAGGGCAAACTAAACAAGACATACCAACAGTATTATTCCAGTTTCAACATTGCCCTTTTTATTCATACTGTCTCACATCAATTCATATCATTATGTCATTTGAAACTGTTCATTAATATACACATCGTAATTGAATAAAATTATTATATATTATTAAAGTTCGAAAATATACTGTAAATTACATTACAGTCGACCCCCTATAACACTGTTGATAATTCCGTTTTATATGAATTCCATGTTGTACGAGTCACTTAGATTTTACAAATACGTGTGCCAGGCAGTGACTCCTACAACATGGAATTCATATAAAACGGAATTATCAACAGTATTATAGGGGGGTCGACTGTATATTGGTGCCTAAAACTACACTCGTATAGCTTTGGTTTTTGTGTAAGATTTAATGAATTTTCTACTTATTTCTTTTCCGAGTAAGCATTATTTATGGCTCTTTTATTATTCGAAATATACCAATTCTATATTTGTAAGTAGACTTTATTTCAACATGCTGTAACGAAAAATTAAACGTCTTAGCAGACGAGCACGTGGAAGTTAAATTTTACTCCAGTAAAGTGTTTTATTCATAACACGAAGTTAAACGTAATTTAACATTGTAAACTGGACACCTGTAAAAACAACTGTTGCCAATTTGGAAACGGTTCAAATTTTTCAACACGCAAAAATCAATAATTACTTACTAATCCCTAGAACCAAGCAGAGAAGGATTCAGTTCTTCCATCTTTCCTCCATGTTCCAGTGATCTTTTATGAAAATTTCATTTCTTTTATGCTATTTTATTTATACTTTTAATATTATAGTTATTAATTTTAGAATATTAAAAGTGATAATTGAAAAATTTATTTTTAAAAACAATTACACGAACTCTAGCGGAAATGACTCGAATCACACGTGATCCGAGTCCATTATACTCGTGATTATTAGAATTCAAAAACCTTGACTTCAAACAATGAATAGCTAAATTTATCATTCGCTTGTGACTTTTATGTCATTCCCATCCGACGCCTTTTATGGCAAAAATTGTATTATCGATGACAAAAGCATGGCTAAGTTTGCTTACGAGAATTTCAAACGTTGATTCGCTTGTGCTTAATATTATTTATATTCTATTTTAAATGAAAGAGATGCTAGTTTTAAATGTTGTATATTAGTAATAAAGGCACAAAATATAAGTATTATAAACGATATATATGGCGAGGGATTGATCCACGGTTTCATAATTATTATGAGACACGACGAATATAGGCTACATTAATTACTCAAGTTAGTGACGTATCGCCTACGTCGGACCCCATCCCTCACCACTGGACCGAACCTACGATAGGCCTGATTAAAAAAAAAACAAAACAAAAAAAACCTCGTAGTGCCCACAGGGCTGTACAAGTTTTTAAAAAGTGATAATGGTGAAATATCCGAAATAAACCCGAAAAGATATCATTTTTAAATAAAAAATACAGTTTTTCATTTTAACTTTTACTTTGATAAAAATGTTTGTATTACGAATAAAATAATGTCACGAAGTGTGTCACTATTCAAAATACAAACGTTATTTTATGACTCATTCGATAAACACGTGTTACTCAAAGATAATAACGCCTCCGATTTGAAATTCTACTCGACTACTCTCCTCCTTTGCAGAATATTGTAATATAAAACCTGCTCCGTCAGTTATTTCATTACTAAGAATTTATTTTGAATAATGAAGCGATCTCTTAAATATCATTAGTTCGTATTCTCAAATGTTTTTATTATTAAAAAAAAACTACAAAAATATTTTTTATCGCATAAATTATATTCTTTATGTGTAGACACTTGAAATAGCAGCGCATTTAAGTTCATTTTCAAGTAAAACATTTTTAAATATAGACTCATTATGGAAAAGCATAAAAATTTAGAAGTGTGCGATAAATTAAAGAACAATAATATAAAACTTTTAGTTGGTTTTACATGTAGACTACTTTTATAAGCATTTACCTTTATTAAATACAATATTAAAATATTGATCATTGGATAGAAAAAGTGACCTGCCTGCTTTTTAAACTCTTTCCGCCCTAAGGGCTCTTTTAGCAAGCCCATTATGAGTTCGGTCAGGCCCACAATGAACGGCCGGGTAACGAGGGACGAAACCCGACATGTCCAGAACATATGCCCAAAAAATTCCTGGCGTTACTCGCCGGAATTCAATCTTGAGTTCCCTAGAACGGTGGACTGACGCCTTAACTATTTCGACCATCTGCCTAGCTCTTCGTATGCTTAGAGCTTAAAATATGGTCTCCTTTTACATAATATAAAATAAAATGTTTTGAAAACATAAAATCAAATTCTGCAAGGCTTTGTCATGATCTTGGATTTTTAAAATTTTCAACCTTTTTTGGAAATAAAGATTTGAAAATTTTAATTAAGCCTTGCAGAAATAAAGAAACTTTTAAATGGCTGTTCTGGAAGATCTATTTTTTTTAGTTGTGTCACTATTCTTGTGCACTAACAAATTAGATACTCGGCTGGATGGTCGAGTCGGTTAAGATGTCAGTTTACAGTTCTAGGGACCTGGGATTGGATCCGAGCGAGACGAAGAACCTCGGAAATTTTTTCATGAGTGGTTGGTCCCGGATATATTGGGTTCTGTCCTTTACACTTGGGCCGCTTCATTACACGAATCGAATACACGATAAGCCTGATCGAATACACGATAAGCCTGGAATAAAGCGTTTTTAATGTCCACAGAACGGAAAGAGTCCCCCCAAAAAAGTAGTATTTTGACAAGTTTTCAGATGAAGCAATAATATCTATTGAAATTATTAAATTTCTGGATAATAAATCTATTTCTGTATAAAATTATTATTGTTACGAAAAGATTCTATGAACGCTTTCTTTAATTAAAAATGGGCAAATCTCAAATTTTCAGGATAATTCATGAAATTGCAAGAAAGATAAATATAAGATTTTAACAAAATTGGACAAAATTATTTTGCTCAAAATTCACGAGAAGGGAAATAATGATGACGACGTATGACGTTGATCAATTTTGTAATTTTCAAATAACTATATTTTACACGTCTTCCAATATAAAATGTTAATTTTCAGTAATATTCATTAAAGTAACATTAAAGATTTATACGCTGAAAATTGTTTCAGAGAGAAGGATGGATAGAATAAGGCAACACAACACCCAGGCGACCTTCCGAGGCTTGAGGGTAATTCTCGGGAGGACCTTCTATGGGAAACCAGTCCCTATTTAGGTATCACATATTGTACATATGTGAAAAACCGTGAAAACTTCACTTGGCCAACTCATTGGTCAGGCGCGAACCCAAGATCAACTATCAGTTTTCAGTGGTTTTATCCAGTGGAGCACCGAGAAGGGTCCAAGGGGCCATGGCACTTTCTGAAGAAAAGGAAAAAAAATATTAGGATATTTTCCCAATTAAAATTTATTTTTTTCTATTTATATTGTGTCGTATCTTCCATTTTTACACTATTTATGAATTATCTGTTTTGTTTTGTTATGGAAACGCAACACTTGGGCGATCTGCCTAGAGGATGCTTTCCGGCAGGTCTTTTTAAAAGTAACTGGCCCCTATTCGGGCTTTACAGACATGGAGAAAATCCAGAAAACTCCACGTGGCCAGCCCGTCCTGGCCAGGCTCGAACCCATAAAACAACTCCCAGTGTTCAGGAAACAGAACCGCTTGGCCACTAGTGGGCCTTATAAATTAGCAAATTTGCATTAAAATTTTTTCATCCGTTCAACCTCGGTTTCCCGAAGATTAAATTCTAAGTGCGCCAATGATTTTATTCATTCGACCATTGATGGGCTATAGACAGAGAAGGCGGAATGTGAAGAAACGGTTTTCTTATTTATTTCTGTATATTTTTCTTCTCTCCATCTTATGGGCACTTTATCAAGCTCATTGTGGCCAGGTCAACAATTATCCCGACACCTTAATCGCTAGACCGGCTGTCATAATCAGTATATTTCTCATTCTTTAGTTTTTTCTTATTCAAGTTTCTGTGTAACAGACTTGCGTCAGTATTACTCATTACGAATGACTTCATGTTCAACAGTTCTCAATATGAATGAAAGATGATAAAGTTTTATTTCAAACTATTCACGAAAGTCAGGAAGAATGTCTAAATTTTTAATTTACAAAATATTTTTTTATTGTGAAACATTTCCGGTTAGTTTTCAAGTTCTCTCTTCGTTGTGTGGCAGGATCATTGCGTGGGACGTTTCAACATATACGCTTTGTGAATTATTCACACATTTTTTCTACGTATTGTTTTCTTCTTCCAATTCACCTACTAATTTTTTTCCTCAGCATAATTTCCAACTTTGACCCTAATTGATTAAATAGCCGCTCGATGGGGGATGGCCGAACATTGGCCGTCTATTAATCTGCGGACCCGGAAACGAATCCGGACGGATCGAAAAACCATAAGAATTTTTCATGGTATGTTTGTCCCGGATATGTTGGGCCCCGTCCCTCACCACCCCAACGACCATTGTGGGTGTAGTCGTAACCACGATGTATATGGATAAAAGGGCCGTCTTAGTGCCCACAGGGCGGAAAGAGTTAAAAGTAGAAAACAAAAAATTTCCATAATTTTGGATATTACAAAGGCGTCACATTCATCTCTTATTCATGCTGGTTAATCCCATTATGAGTTAAGTTCTCTCGTGAATCTAATCTCGGGTTCCCAGAACCCGGGATTAGATTCGGACCGAGAATTCCAGGAAATTTTCTTGTGTGGTTTGTCCCAGACCAGATATGACGGGCCATATTTCTCATCAACCCATTATGGGCATGACCGAACCCACGTTGGCTCTGAATAAAGGCTCTCGTAGTGTCTACTGCAATAGCGCGGAATAACAAGAAGCAGGATATTATACTTATAATATAATATTATACTTAATCATTATAATTTTTATATAGAAAAAATTCAACCCTACAGGCGTAGCGTGTGATAGAGACATTGCAATATTATCCGAAGAACAAAACTAATAAAATTCAAAAAATAAAAAAATTAAACAAGAACGGAACAGACGATTCGTCGATTACATCATTTGTAAGCCGAAGGCAATTTCATGGTCAAAGTTATTTTTATTCTTATATTAATAATTAATGAATTAATTTGAATGGAATAAAATAAACAAGATTTTTATCGAGCGCCTATATATTTTGTTGGATATATTCCGAATGACGTCATTCTATTTTAATTGCGCCATTTTGTTCCTTTAAAATCGCTTCTAGTGTTTTGGTGAGTTCTGGTGAATTATAACTTTTGATTTTCTCATTTTTCGATTAAGTTAAGATTAATTTAAGTACCATAAACGATATTATTTATTTTAAATTACGTTTTAAAGCCAAAGATCGTATTTATTGGCGAAAATATTGCGATTTCTTCTCGACTATTATATTTTTTGTTACGCTTTCATCATTTTCAATTCATAATTTATGTCGCGATCGTTTTCGTTTTGGTTGCATTTCGGGACATTTTGATGAAAAAATGGCTTTTTGGTATAAGTAAGTTGTTTGTGAGGTTCAAATAAACTAAAATTAATTTCAAATATACTGAAATTAGTTTTACAGGATGTCAATTTTATATTCTATTTAAAATTGATGTAATAAATTATTTGAGTAAATCTATTTTGGTAAAAGTTTAATTGTAGTAGTGTTCTAACAAATAATAGGCTATTAGTATGTTAAAGGAAGTGAGTGAATGGAAAAGAGTTATCTTAAATTGCTTTTGCTATCATAATTTGAGTCCAGGTTCACTTAATTTTGAATGTGCTTTTTTAAAACATTGAGTTTTAGCGAGTGCATTCAAAATTGTTGCAAATATTGTAAAACATTCTTTGGTTAAAGTCCAGTTATGTGGACTGTCATGGCGGCTCATCTCTGATTCCAGCAGTGGGGACGCACGTTCTAACCTAACCTAACCTATTCTAATAATTTGATTGGTAATAATTATGGTAATTTATTAGAATAGGTTAGAACGTGCGTCTCCACTGTTTCCTTTCTTTTCTTTGCTGGAATCAGAGATGAGCTGCCATGACAGTCCACATAACTGGACTTTAACCTGTTCTTTTTGTTTTGCAATGTTTTGAACTTTACAATTCTTAAACAGATGAACAGTTAGGTTTTGCTTTACCTTATTGTTCCTTACTGGATAAGCTTTTCTATTGATGAAACAGCAGTGCTAGTTTGGCATTTAAGAAATTTTGGAAGTTTTGTCAGTCCTTTTAAAGAAAAATTTTTCTTGAAAAATGAAACTATACTGAGATAGTATCTGTATTAAATTTGGTTGAGATTTCTCCAATAGTTATATCCCTTCTCTTTAATTATGATCACTTACTTTTCTGAAACTTCTCAATGATGATCTTGATGGAAAATTTTAAAAATATTTTCTCAAGATATGTTTGATCAAATGTTTTGGAAAAAGTGTCTTTATTAGTCATGAAGTATCAATATGAAATTTTTACAGTTGGGACTTCTATGATTTATGAATTTATAACCAGTAGTAACTTTAGTAATAGTATTGGTAAAAAATAATTTTAATTTATCTCAAAAACTACTTTACTGGAGAAACCAGTCTGATAATTTAGAATTTATGCTTATTATCAAGGTCATTCAAATAAATTGTAAAGTTTGTCAAGTCAGAAATATTCAAACATAATAATAATAATAAACTCCAATAGGGTGCCATTTTCCAGACTGTTCTCCTTTGCATAAAAATCATACTTCTACTTTTAAGTCTTCAATATTTTTTATTATTATATGTTATGCTGTTTCTATCTCCTGCAACCTTCATGGTTCCCACAAACCTTTTAAATCTTTACTATACATTATTCTCTAATTGTTTATACTTTTGTGCCACACAATCCACTTCCAGGCTTCTGATAGCATTTCCTCATCCTTCAGATTCACTGTTTCAGAATCTAGACTTTTCCTTCAGATCCATATTCCACTGTTGTGATACCTCTCTTTTTGTTTTTTCTTTTCAAACAACTATGTGTTCTCTCACTTGACAACCACACTTTTCTTCAAAACAGTCATCATTCTTCTTTTCTTGCAGTCTTCAAAATGCTATTAGGTCTTATCTTTAGTATTAATTTTCTATGTTGCACCCACATAGCATCTTTTCTTTCTCAATGTTTCTTCTACTGGTATCATATAAACTCAGCCTTCTGTCTTGGGTCTCTCTCCTATTATTATTAATCCTATAAAAAAATATGGGATTCTTCTTCACATTTATTTGTTTTGTTGTTGTTTTTTTCTAGTGCTCTATAAAAGCTTTCCCACAAATCTATGGTGTAACAAAACATTTTCCACTTCTGGTTCTTTTTTAACCTAATTCTTAACTTGAGAAAACTTTTCTGACTTCATTACATATACTCTTCCATCAGTTTCCCTATCAGATTTAATTCTATCTCTAAAGACATATATTGGAGACAAAAGTGTTGCTCTTTTCAGCAGAGTTTTCAAAGCAGCAGTCTTGTATCTGCATCTACTGAATCAAACAGTATTTATATAAATTGGTCATGTTTTGTCTCACATTGAAGTTAAATGATAAAAAGTAACCAAAACAAATTACAGTTGACCCCCCATAACGCGGGTTCATATAATGTGGATTCGTATATCGCAGCAAAAAAATTGCGACCATATTCATATAAAGACGCTAAAAGGGACTTGTAAAATGCAGTAAAATGCCATCGCTGACTCGTGGCGCGACAGGATTGGTCGAATCTGGACCAATAGTGGACGAGCAGCCAAACTACTTACACGCTACTGAGAGTTTAGGCGGGTAAATTGAGTTTACTATCGTCTGTACAGTATATAAATTAGGTACTGTAAGTCTAATACAGTACTGTAATTTTATACAATTCTTGTGAAAAAAACATTTCTTATTCAATGGCCATAAAAATTATTTCTATTAATGATGTCTCAAAGTTCAGCAAATTTTTTGAAGAAAAATAACTTATCAGAAAACGTGCTTGCTGTTCAATGCGCCACTCTGTGACGAAAACAAGCTTAAGCAATGGCGTCGTCGAACGGTGCACACTTGGTAAGTAATCCTACAATTTGTTGTTTATAGCATAGTTTATATGGATTATTCCCAAAAAATTATACGTGTTTTGGAAATGTTGAGTCAAATAAGTCTAGAATCAATTAATTTTATGGAAGAAAACCTTTCAAATAGCCGTAGTCTGTAAACTGCACACGTGTCGGGCTGTGATTGGCTCATGTATTTAAGGTTCCTACAACGTGAAATCCTTATAAAGTGGAACATATTTACCACGTTATAGGGGGGTTGACTGTATAAGGTGTAAAATTACCAATGCTGAGTTTGCTGTGAGTATAAGCAAAACTTTACAGAAATAAGATGATATAAAAATAAATTACTTTATTTTAAAAATGTTAAGATAGGTATGTTATGATGATTTTTTTTTTTTGATAGTTTGTCAGTATTGTGTTGTATTAATGTTGGACAATAAAGAAAATAATGTAAACTTGCTGAAGAGGGCCTTCAGGTCCGAAACACAAAAAGCGTGTACAGATAAAAATAAAGATATTTTGTTTTGACTGAAATTCACTCTTTGCTAATCAGAAACTACACCAGTATAATAAGTTCTATTACTACTATGGTATAAATAGACAATATATATACAGACATGTAAAACAGTAAGGACATAGAGATAAAAAGAAGAAACAAATCATTTTCTAATACATGCTATTGTTTAAGCTTTCTTTTGTGTATTATAGTATAAGAGCAGCAGTGTAGTCACTTACTAGTTTGCCTTGAATAATGTGGAACCTCAGTTAATTGGGGTTTGACTGTATTTCAGTCTATCTTTTGAACCACTCGCTAATTCTGCTAAACTTTCCACTACAGGCAAGCCAATCAATATCCCTCTTTTCTGCTGTAAAAACTTTTTTAAAATATGAAGTAACATTCAAAGATTATCAGATTTAACTTGTCAGAAAGAATACAAAAGTTTATCTTGCTAAAATCTTGTTGCTGCCTCAAGACTACAGACTCTGACTTATACTCCTTATATTCTGACTTTCTGTAGCCTTAAGGCAAGGCTACAAAATCAGAGTATAAGGCAAGTCAGTTCTTACCTTATACTCTGTATAATGACTTAAAATTTAAGCATGAATGACATCATACTATAAAAATGAAGAAGAGATTCTTTTATTGTAAATAAATTCATTATAAAAATGCAAATACATAATTATTACAGTTCATTTTATTTATCATTACATTTGTTTAATTATTCAATAACATAGCAGATTCAAGTAAAAAAAAAAGATTGGGTTCAAAGATACATCTAAAGTATTGAATTATGATCTTCATTCATACATACAACGCCTTTTAACGTGAAAAATAAATAACTTAGTTTTCTATTTTTTCCATAATATTCAATTAGTATTATAGATAAACACAAGATAATGGTTTTACTATTTGTTTCGGATGTAACTTGAGATGAAAGTGTTTGTCACTATGTACACTGTACAATGTCATATGATTTATATCATAGATCTAAGATTTTGTTTGTAGTTCCAAACAGATATACTTAAATACAATATATTTTTCAAAATCATTGTTAATGTTGTTACATATTTCTAAATTAAAGTTGAAAGGTAATATTTATTCATTTTAGTAATTTTGTTATATATTTATATTAGCAGTGATCAATGTTTGCATATGATATCTGTATCTTTGAAGTTTTATCGCAAGATAAATATTCCAAATGAGTGACACTTTCATTATCAAATATGAAATATACACAAGATATAGATAATGATCTAAAAATAATAAATGCCGTTCAATAAATAATGATTATAATTTAATGTTTTAATATAAGTAGATTTTAATTGATTTAATCATTGTATTTGATAGTTGCTGTAGCTATCTTAGTCTTTACATATGCAGAATGACTGACTGCCTTTGACTCAAAATTTTGGTGTTTCAGTAGTGAAAAATTGAAAGTTAAAATTTGTTTTACTGTGACTAAACTTCACGCTTTAAAATTTTTTTAAAATTTTATTTATTAACCTTTGCGTTATCTTTTCTTTTATATGTATGATAATTTGCTAATTATTAATCTTACAAGAGAACAACATGGCCACCTACATTTTAGATTAAATTTTACTTAATTTATTAAAATAAATTAGTTTAAATGTAGTTGAAAATTTGGCTGTTGATTAATTCAGACTGGTTATATTTGAGTGATGCTCCCCAGTTAGTGACAACAATCTATGGTTATATAGTCCAGACTAGCTGTTACCCGTGACTTCACCCGCGAAAATTTTGCAAGCAAACCCCATTTATATTCAGTATTTCAACAATCATAGTAATTGTTATATAACACCTACTGCTGAGAATGATGAGAATTGCCGAGAATCAAACGAACTATTTTCAATTTGATCAATTTTCTGGAACGTTTACAATCGTTCTATAATCAAACCAATATGCAATAACAAATTCGAATTTAAAACAGTTCGAACATTTTTAAAATTGAAATATATAAAAATATTTAAACAATGTCTGAAATGTGATCAATTTAATACACCTAAGTACTCGATGAAGACTAAACGTAGTTGAAAACAAAAAATCGCATCTAAAATAGTACAGTAGAAGCCATTCTTCCGGTTAAGCTTAATCCTCTCCCTCTCCCCCCGCGGGAGAATTTAGAAAAATCCCTTCTTAGTGTCCATTCTCATGGCATACCCTACTAAAACGCATACAAAACCAATATGCAATAACAAATTCGAATTTAAAACAGTTTGAACATTTTTAAAATCGAAATAGATAAAAATATTTATAACAATGTCTGAAATGTTATTAATTTAATACACCTAAGTACTCGATGAAGACTAAATCCTCTCCCTCTCCCCCGAGGAGGAATTTCGAAAAATCCCTTCTTAGCATGCATTTCCATGGTATACCCTACTAAAACACAGATAAAAAACAAAAAATTGCGTCTAAAATAGTGCAGTATAAGCGGTTCTTCCGGTTAAGCCTTAATCCTCTCCCTCTCCCCCCGCGGGGGAATTTCGAAAAATCCCTTCTTAGTGAGCGTTTTCATGACGTACCCTAACTGTGTACCAAATTTCACCTCTTTAGGTTCAGCGGTTTGCTCTGGGCAATGATGAATCAGTGAGTGAATGAATCAGTCAGTCAGGACAAGCAATTTTATATATATAGATCAATAGATGTAACATAATTGGTAGTATGGCTGTTCCTTAACCTGAAGATAAATTAAATGTAAAATTAAAAATGTATATCTAAATCTAAGTAAAGAAATTGTCAAAGATGAAAAAATACTAACTGTCAAGCAGTGAATTCATTTTTAAAATTTTTAAATTTGCATCAAATTTACGGAGTATCCACCAATCTTTGGTATACAAGGAAGATATTCTCTTCCCTTTAGCACAGTTAACAATGAGGATTTCAAAAATGTTGGAGGAAATGTCAAAAAAATTTTGTAAGAACATCAAATCACATTCTGACATGTCAAAGGTTAATACACAAACACAAATATGCAAACTGTTAATATTTGACATGCTATAAATTTAGGGGTGGTAAAGGTTGATAAGAGCATTGTTTTATGAAGGATTCTAATGTCAGAAACAAATGCTGGCAGAGCTGTGGTTCGCAACATTTTGAATGTGGTAGGCGACATGACATGTCTACAGTTATCAACTCTCTCTTATTGTGTATGTGTTTTGGGATATCAAGTATAGATACATGTAGTACAGTAAATTAAACTTGATTTGATATTTTTCTGTATATTTATAATAAATGTCTGAAGTGGCAACCACGAACGTCATTTTACAAAGTATGATTGTACAGTGATAAACCATATACAATCATACTATGTTGTACTCTCTCAAAGAGTGCTTCTCTTCTGATAGTATTAATCTGTATATATTCTGATGGTAGTTATATATTTATTAAATATTTTCTTTAATTACTTTTATGTTTATAGTTGTTTGAGATGCAAATGATTCTTATTCCAGGTGGTGATAATGGTAGTGCATCCAGTTCTGTTACAATATGGTTCTATTTTATATTTTAATGTTTAATTTTTTGATTAAAAATTTTTTTATATTCTACAAATGTTTTATCCTAAATATGTCTCATGCATAACTAATTAATGTAATTAATTTTAAACAATTCTTTGTTTTTTTAATATATACTGATTCTTAAAAATATTTAACTGTAATGAAAAACAAATACAATTTATATTACAAGATAAGAGGAATATAATGCAGACTATATTGTGTACTTATTAGCAGCCAGTCTCTGCTAATATTAAAAACAAAGTTTTGAACTTGGCACTTTTGAAGAAAGACAAAAAATACTGTGTTCTTATACTCAACATCGTTCAAAGTGCATTATTTGGAAACAAGCACTGTTGTAACATTTTGGTACATTTTATCAAGATTCTGCTGATTGATGACGTTCCAATAAAGTAATATTTTAATTTCACTCAACAAATTAAAATTATCTTTCTTTTTATTAAGTGTTAAAGATAATTATATTATTATTAATCAATTCCATACATAACCTGATCATATTCTGTCAATAATATAATAATTTAAATTGTCTGTAATCAGTTTAATTATTGCTATGTCACTCTCAACAGTTTGTGCTTTCAACAGAAAAAAATTTTATTCTGCATGATGCAAAAATTAGTTTAATTTACAGTATTATAAGAGCAATGTAACTAATTTTAACTTTAGAAACATTCAGCTGTAGTGCTTTTAAAAAATATTGAGTTTAGGAATGTACCTGTAGACAAAATTAGTGAGTGCGAACTATGCATATGACCAAAATTCTGAATTGTTAATCATGATGTGTATGTGCACACACTATCAGAAACCCTGATTTAACATTGCATAATTTCTGGGAATGGGCTGAGAATCTAGAAAGCTAGATGCTTTAAATGTCATTGCAAAAGTATCCCAGAATTCTTGGTAATTACCAGATGGGATAGCTAGCAGATTATTTGATTGGTTGCTCAAATACCGGTATATGAATTTGTCATCAGAATTGTCAAAGACAAGTCAAAAATGTCAAAAAGGATTAGCATATTTTTCCATCTTTGAATTGTTTGATTATTTAGATTTAAAATTAAATAGTTCTTATACAAGTCACTAATTAAAATATAGATTTAAAAAATGTTTGTAATTAAAGAAATTTGTTGATGATTTATTAATATATTTATTTGTTAAATGTTATTGAAACTATTATAGGAAATAAAAATTTAACGTTTTATGAATATTAATTTGTTAATGGTAAAGAACATGATGATGATTTATTTTTACCGTGTTTCCCCGAAAATAAGACAGTGTCTTATATTAATTTTTGCTCTGAAAAATGCGCTAGGTCTTATTTTCAGGGAATGTCTTATTTTTTCCAGGAAGAAGAATTCACATTTATTATTGAACAAAAAAATTCCCAAGTCGAACTTAGACGAGAGTGACGTATATCAGGTGTGTCGAACTGTCGCTTTTTTATAGCGTCAACATCGGACTCGATGACCAATTAGTGCTTACTGAACCGTAGCACTATGCAAATCTGTGATTCCCAAGCCATAGTCTTATGCAAATCATGCCGTGTGGCGTAATTGTCTGCTGACCAATCAGTGGCTGTACTTTCAAAAAGCCAACGGCTACTTTCAACCATCTGTCGATGACCGTTACAACTAAAAAAAACTTCGCTAGGTCTTACTTTCAGGGGGAGGTCTTATATTTCGCAATTCAGCAAAATCTGTGCTAGGTCTTATTTTCTGCGGATGTCTTATTTTCGGGGAAACATGGTAGTAAAGCTCTTAGATATGTTGTTTTGATAACAATAGAAGTTAAAATTATCTTATGAATATTGTCTGATAATTTATTTGTCTGTTATAATTGAGATAATCAAAATAATCTGTCCATAATCAGGATTTGTAATTATCATAAGATAGTGGAGTAATAATTTTATAATCAGTTATAATATATATATATGATGTAATGTTCATTTTGTAAATTAGATGAATTAACTAAAAATTAGTAATACAATTAGAATGAATTGAAATATTTGTTAACAAAATTTTTATTTTCATTTACTGACAAATTTGAATGCATATTGCAACTTTTAAAATTATTCTGTATTTTCAGAATTAAGAATTAATAAAATGTCATCTAGAAAGAAAGTATTACTAAAAGTTATAATACTTGGAGACAGTGGGTAAGTAAACTTTACTATTATTATTAATTTTATAAAAATATTTTAAAACTTTTAAACGAAAGGACAATTTAACATTTTCAGTGTATGATTGTTTAAATTACTGCTTAAAATATGATTTTAGATGTGTAGAGAATAAATAATGCATGGAAAAATAAAGGACAAAAGTAACTGATGTGATTACACTTTCAAAATAATTAAAGTGAAATTTCACTTGGTATATAGTTCAAAAGAATATATAAACAGATGGGCAAAGACTGAACTTGAAAATCTGAGTGAAAGAAAAAAAAATGTCCAAACAAAAGACTAAAGAAAACAAAATGACATAACAGATGACTTATTTTTAACAAAATATTCTTTTATAGTTTATTCATACAAGAACAGTTACTTAAGTAAAAATATTTTAATTCTAATCAAATAGCACTGCTGATAAATTTTGTTTGAAAATGTTTTATGAATAAAACAAATTTTGACTATTTGAAAAACTTTATATAATGATAGATTTAAAATTTTTTATATTTACTCCATTGTCATTTAGCATTTTGGCTATTTTTAACTGCTATTATGTAGTGGCAACATATTTACTAATGTGTGTGTAAGAGTGCTGACATATCTATAATTGGTAAATATAATTGTTAATTCAAATTAACAATTCATTTGTATAGAACTAGGGAATTTATTCCTTGGTTGAGTATAGTGGCCCATCTCCATACTTGTTTTGCTCACTTCTTCCCAGTATAAACTATTCATAAGAATTTCAATATATTATATCTTTAATTCTGCATAAGGATTCTGTAATGTAAACTTATTTCAGATCTGTTCCAAAGTGCACCTACCTCCATACTCAAATTAATTAAAAGAAACAGTTTTTACTTAAATCACACATAAAAAACTTTTCTTTTGGATTTTCTCCATCAAAGTTTGAACACAGAACAACATTCAGATTCCATAACAAAAAAAATATTCTTTTTTTGAATCAGTCAAGTATGATGTTTTATAATTAATGTTCCATGGAAAAACATTGTTTCATGGTTATGTGGTTTGCATCACTTGCTCTATGAGCTTTATCCATTTGTTTCCAATATAGATCATCACAAAATTTTTGTTATGTTGATTTAACCTTAGTGAAGCCAACCTCCACTCGCTTTGCTTTCCTTTGTTTTGCTCTCTTCACTCAACCTCCTTCAAGGTGAGCAGCCCAAAGCTCCCACATCTGTTTGCTTTGTTTATCCCAACCTCTTGTTACTTTCCCTCTTAGTCCAACTGCCTTACCCTACCTGCTTTTCTTCCCTTTACTTTTCCTCCATTAGGTTAAATGACTTCTTTGCTTTGCTTAGCCCTCACTTGTTTGAAAATTTTGGCAATTCATCAATTATTGACAATTCATCAATAATGGTGCTGCTATTTCTATCTCTGTAACAGAAAAAAAATGTGATTTTTAATACTTAAATACTTAAAGCATTTTATATATAGTATTAATATAAAGAGTAGATAAGAGATTTATTTTTATTAGTTTATTAAATAGCACACTACTGTATTTTTATTAAATTTATTCAAAAATTAAAATGAAAATTTCTTATATTGCCAAAACTGTATCAAATTAATAATAGCTATTTAAATATATTTTTTTTATTAAATAGGAATTTATATTATTTTTTAATATTCATTTCAGAGTTGGAAAAACATCCTTAATGAATCAGTATGTCAATAAGAAATTCAGTAATCAGTACAAAGCCACAATAGGTGCAGATTTCTTAACGAAAGAAGTAACAGTTGACGACAGATTGGTTACAATGCAGGTAATGATAATCACTAACTACAATTTAAGGCAAGACTCAAACTTTCACCACATCTTTTGATTGCTAAGAATTTTTTTACATATATACAAATATTAAGCATAAATACAGTTTCTTTCAAATACAATTACTGTGTAAATATGTGACTGGAAGGTCGTCATCTTTCGATGCCATGTCAGGATGACACCACTGTGTCCCATTCGACACAGAAGTCATGATGGTAAATTTTTTTTTTGTTAGAAACTATGTTTTGCGAGCAGTTGTGTGCTTGAGCGATTGGATTCCAGGTGGAGATCTATGAGACAGTGCGAAAAAAGTAATGCACTGAGATACTAAGTTTAACAAACAAATAACTGTTTATTTGAAAAGAAAAAGGTTTACATGATATATACATTGTAGTATGTCGAAATAACTGACCTATATACCATAGGTGGTCACAAGAGAGAGCATTTACAGTAGAGCATGCAAGGATAAATACCTTCTAGAGGAGTGGTTGCAGGCTGGGTTGATAAGATAAAAGTTCTCGAAGATAGTTTGTATTCTATAAATCCATCGTAGAAGATATGATCATACACGAGAAGGATGAAGTATCTGTGGAGATTGTGAAAATATCCATTGATGCAGAGCCAATGTATCCGGCAATAGAATAAATTGATGTCTCTGAAAGGACTAACTGAGGCACACAAACAAACGATTGACCTGCTTGAGGAACTGGTGATGACTGACTCATCGGGCTGTCAATTTTTATATTAAAATTGGTGGCATATGGCTGGGAGGTTAAAAGATTGTGGGAAAGCATTGCTTTTGCCATCAAGAACATGTAAAACAAGATGTTCTCAGGTAGTAGTTGACAATTATCAAAATATATATGACAAAATTGTGTTTTTTTTGGTTGAAGTCCAGGTTCCCACAAATATTATATTTAACATCTCAACACAGGTGCAAGATATGGCTTTATGAGATTCAAATACTGTAAATACATACTCATGTTTCTATGTTGAAAGTAATTTAAAACATAATTAAGGGAAATATTTAACATTATTCACTAATGCTGATTTAATACTATCTAGTAAAAACTAACTTACCATCTAGTCAGCTTGTATCAGTT